GAGGGATTGCCGTGTTAGTATACTAACACAAGTATCATGAACTTTCGTGGGCACAACCCACTTCTTCTGAAGAAGTGGGTTATGCCCGTGAGTTTTTGTGGTTCATGATTTTATTTATATATATACACACACACACTTTTTTTTTTTTTGTTCGTCTCTAAGACCTGGTCTACACTAGGGCGTTACTGTATTTCAAAATAACCTCTCTTAGGCTGAATTTATAGGCAGAATGTCACACTACCAAACCTGTTGTTTTGAAATAATGGGCTACTTACTTTGAAATCTGTACTCCTGCTTTCCTCGGGGAACAATGCTAATTTCAAAATAATTTAAAATAACTACTCCCCATAGTCATTTGAACGGATTACTCCCCAGTGCTTCCTTGGGCTCTAAGTTGAGGTAGCACATCCACATTAACAGAGCCTATGTCAGACTAATTTTGAGGCTTCCCCATATTGGGGACATGCTATTTGGATTTTGTAAAATCAAGAGTTAAGTAGAAATTAGTAATTCTGTTATCATTTCCTAGTGTAGACCTGTCCTAAGGTGCTACAGGACCACTTGTGAAGTTTTTTAAAAACTTTTTTGTTATTTATGTATTTATCAATGGTTTAAAAAAATCTATTAACCAATTCTGAAATACATCTAGGTAGAAAAATGTGGTTTGGACAAAAGGTATAACTGGGCTAGAGTGGGTCATTTGTCTGAAATATATCTAGCTTTGGGTGTCTGTAGGCCAGTTTGATTAGTAATTGGGAGAAAAGCTGTTCCTTAGTTTAGTTACAAAAATATGCAATGCTTTGTATCCGTTGTTTGGCTCACTGCTGGAAGTGTGTAAGAATGAGGAGTACTGGCTAGTGGTTACCCTTGCTAATGGGAACATTGCTGAATGTGGATGAGTAATTAAAGTATAGAATGTGGAAAATTAGGCTGGAATTGAATAGAAACAAGTAAGCATGCATTCTGTTTTACAGATGTTGGAAACAGATTATTTTGGGCACCTCTACGTTTTATTGGGTTACTATGTAAAATCAGTCATATGCCATGTAGATTGTTTCTCTTCCTATTGCTGTTTCCTTCTTTATTTTGTGTTGTATCTGTATGGGTAGTAATTTAGCAAAATATCCTGTCCGCCAGGTGCGGGAACTAGCTGATTGTATTGTAATACCAGATCATTACTTAATTCATATAGCCTAGCAACATAGCCTAGCATATGGAAAGCATTATAAATCTATTTATGGTGTGGCTGGTCTGATGATAACATTGTATTACATTCCCAGGTGAGGCGATTTAAGCAATTGGTTTGCCATGTGTAGGCTATGGAAATTAACTTCTAGTGTGCTTTAATAGACTAACTTCATTGTTATGCTCAGATTAGTAGTATAGCAGAATTCTTACAGTTTGGTTGCATGTACTTTACTTCACATGTAAAATCATACAAGGGGTGGTACTGCAGATCACAGTTCTTAATTAGTTTAAGCTGAGTTAATTCATTTCATTTCTAATTTAACTGTGCCTGCCCATGAACATATTCAGTTCAGTAGGGAAATGTTAAGGCTTGGGTCAAGTAGACAGATTGTTTAAAGCCAAATTGCCAGACAGAACTGAGCAAGTGTATCTGTTTGAAAAGGGCTTTAACAAAATCACCCAATCAGTATGCAAAAATCTTGTTCATAAACCAAGTGAGATCTGCCTGGAATCAAAATTATTCCTTGACAGAAGGTCTGTGTACTGTAGTACATTAAAGCAGCTACTAAAACTTTCTCTGCCTAGAAATTCTTGGGAATAGTAGCTTAGCCCCTTTGTGTAACACTGAGTGCAAGTGTATACTTAGAATTCTGAGTGTGTACACACATAGCAATATACTCAGTATATGTTATACTCAGTTCTGTGCATGAGTGTTTAACATTAAATGAGTGTCTGGGTCAGCATACATGTACACACTTAGAATCATAAGTGTGTGTGTGTGTGTGTGTGTGTGTGTGTGTGTGTGTGTGTGTGTGTGTGTGTAAACCAAATGCAAGAAAAACTTCTACTGCATTTGACAAACCTTTGCAGAGGGGAAAACTGTACATGGAAGCTCTTAAACGTATATTGAGCTGCCCAGAATATGCATCAGATTACAAACTCTGTAAAGCTTCTGTCTTTTCTAGAAACATACATATAAAGTACCAGTAGACAGTGGTAACTGACAACTAAGACTAAAAATGTTGACAATTTCTTGATTTGCCTGGTTAGCTTATGTATAGAAGTCATTAACTATTTATAAAATGCATTATGAATTGGGTTCCTTCAAACTGTAGCAGAATGTGTGACATTTCCAGCTCAAACTACCATGCCTGCATTTGGCTAAAGTACATATTTATATACAGATGATAGTTATGAAGTAAAAAACAATTACAATATATTTATAGTTATCAGATTTGTATTAATGTGTTTTCTTATTGTTAATTTTGATTAGTACAATTTAAGTTTTACCAAAATTACTACGAATACTATTTTTGTTAAAGAAAATAAAGTTATTGATATTTTGTACAAATCTTGGTAGAACAAATGAGCACTTTGGTTTACAAGGTCCTTTTTCTATTATGGATTCATTTGGTGGTGAAATTGTGATAAAAAGTAATAGCAAATTATTTATTGATTAAGGCAGAGGGTTACACCTAGCTGTAGTCAAAAGATTATTTCCTTCAGCACAACTGCTGACTTTCTAATCAGGTCAGATTATTGTAATAAAACAATGGTGCTGAAAACATTATTAGTTGTGCTTACATTGAAGGACATGTATAATGTCGTCTTGCAAAAATAGAATTATTGCAAAAATGTTGTGTCTTGTCATATAGCACACCTTTTCCTCAGACAGTCCCTTGCAAATTGGATCACCACTTTAATCATTCAAATGAATTATGTGAAACTAAGACCTGCCCTAAAAACTCTCTATAATTAGCCAAGTGTTTTACCTGACAACAAACTAATGAAGTGTGATGTTTACCATTGCAAGATAATAGTGAAAAATATGGTTAACTTTAACCAGTATCCATACTGCTGAGCTATTAGGTGATTTGTGTAGGACTGTTCACTTAACTTGCTGGACCTCATATATAGAGATTGGAACTTGCCCCCAAAATATTAGATATTTACAGTGTTGTTGTAGCTGTGCTGGTTCCAGGATATTAGACACATAAGATGGGTTGGGCAATATCTTTTATAGGAGTTGATCCAATAAAAGATATCTCAACTACCTTGTTTCTCTAGATATTTATTGACATATATTTGGAATTTCCTTCCTTGTTTGATGTGTATCAAATAAAAATAGAAAAATAATATAATTGAGCAATCTATGCCAATTTGTTGGCTTTTTGGTGAAAAAAGAGAAAAACAAAACCCATCTCCATATGATATTCTTGCATACTGTGGAATGTTTTAGTCCCCCATAGTGATGAAATGAATAATTTAAACAGGCAGCTCTGATACCACAGCCTGTTTAAAGGTTCTCATTTCCTTTAATGCTGTAGACTACTTGGTTAGTATGAAACTGCTGCAGCTGAGATCTCCAAATAGGGAAATAGAAATTTAACACAGTTCAGTTCCTTCAGAAGGGCACTGGTACACTTAGTCCTTTCTATGTAAAACAGCTGTAGCTTTAGTATGTAATCTAGTATTGAGCACTAGCAGTTGCACCACAAATTGATGAGCATAATGATGGGGATGATGATAGTGAACGGTCAAACCTAACTCACAGAGGATAAACAGCTAAAACATGCGGCAAGTAAACTGGTTGGTGTCCTGGCTTAGTTCATTGGTATCATTATCCCTTTCCCAGTGGTAACCTATTTTCAGATTTTATTTGGTCACAAATATAATGAATGTCTATGTGCTTAGTGTAATCTTTAGTGAACTGTTGCTTGCTTCCCAAACTGAGACAGCTTTTTGGCACAGCTAGGCAGCCAACTCGGGAAACGTCTAGGATTTCTGCTGAGTGAGTGGTCGCTACAGGTACTACTGTAGGTCAAAACTGGAGTGCTTTGGCAGAGCTGTGCAGGGAAGCCTCCACAGACCAAGTCCAGTCCAATTCTAGTTGTATTAGTTCTAGCCACTTAGGTTCCTTCCTTTCATTTATATTAAATCTGGTCATATCCATGTTTAATTTTCTTAAAAAGCTATAAAACAAGAAGGAAAGCAACACAGTGCTCTACAGTTTGGAAGGCACTAAACTTAAGATTGAGCTCTGTCTCTGTTTTTGGTTGTTCATAACTTTCTTTAAAATATGCTAATTAGAATCAATAGGGATGAATATTTAAATCCTGATGTGTCTCTTCTCACAGGCCCATGTTGGACTTTCTGATTTCATCATTAGTTGTTGATTTTATAGAAAGTGTTCCAATACTGTTGCCCCCACGACCTCCCACCCCTAAGATTTTTTTTTCTTTACCTGTAGGTCTTTATAGACACAACAGCAAAGAAAACTTCATTTATGTTCTATATTTGTCATTTAACCCCCCCCTTTTTTTTGGCCAGTGTACATAGTTAAAAAGTTATGTTTGATGTGGGAAAAGCTTAGCCTTCTTTTCCCCATTTAATGACATTACTACTGTTATATTTCAAGAGTTCCCATTCCATATAATAGGACAACTTCAGATAAATACATCTACACCTCTCTGAACACATTTGCAGAAATTCTTATGTAATTTTAGTATTTTTTAAATGTTCCAGTTATGAAAACTGGAATTGCATACTCTAAAGCCATGTGCTTTTACCAAGCAGGTTTTGTTGATGTAAGTTCAAGAATGTAACTTTTTACAATTTCCTCAGATATGTTCAGATTTTTCCATTCATATATATTGAAATTCTACACTTAAGGAACTTCTCAGCAACTTTACTTGCAGATTTTTTTCAAATAGGTATCCATTAGGGGGCTCTCGAGGTTTAAAATGATCAGCCTTGATACGGATGGCTTCAACGCTTTACTTCCTAACCCTTTTTTCTTTTTTGTTTTACAGAAAAGGTCACGGATTGCCTACAGTGACGAGGTGCGGAATGAGCTCCTAGGGGATGATGGGAATTCCTCAGAGAACCAGGTAGGATGCTAATCAAGAAGCCCTAGTGGGTGGCTGGAGGGTGAAGGAGGTCACTGGCACACTGGGCTTCTCAAGCTGCTCCTTAACAGCATTAGCAACAACTCATGTGGAAGTGATACTGTTTAATGCAAAGCTGGGGTCTTAATCAACTTCAAAATGTTTCTTGGAGATCTTACGTTTAACCCTTTACCTTGTGATCACTGTCTGCTATCTTTAAAAAAATCTTTTCTTCTCTTTTCTTTATTATTTAGTACTTAAGAAATAACTTGAAACGCGCTGTTTGCTGACAAAGCCAGGGTCTTCACCTCAAACACATGTAAAAGGAATAAAAAAGTACATAATGCAGCTTTGATAATAATGCAGTGTAATTAAATCAACACTGGCAGGCAAAACAAATGAAAGTGAGCTCTCGGAATTCAATAGTGCTCCTCACTTTCCTTGTGTGCCTTCCTTTCTTAACCAGGTTTTCTTTCCTTGTACTAAAAATGCAATATGCACCAATAAAAAAGTGTAATTCTCTCAAACTCATTATATTAGAGTTTATAATATATACATTTTTTCTGAAAGGGTGCTTAACTATGATAAGCCCTTCTTGAGTTTTATCATAAAATGGTTATTCAAGATACTATAACCAAGATTCTAATAAGATTTTTAAAATAGTGGAGGAAACATTATTTTCCAGAGAATGTGACCTTCCTGTTACTACTTCATCTGAGGCTGAGACTCGTCTTACAGCTTTTCTATCTGAAAATCATTTTGTTTTAAATCAATTCCCTTGTATTCCTTCACACCAAAATGAGCATGTGGTACTTTTAATTTAGAAGTTATTTTGAAGTTTGTTAGAATAATATTTTTTTCTGAGATAGAACTCAAATAACTTTGGTTTTACAAGCAAAGCTTGGTAAAGGATTATTACTTAACATTACATTCATTTATTTAGATGCTGTATACTGGGGAGAAATAAAGACCAAATTCTAAAGCTTTTATTCAATTCTGACTTCAGTGTTAGTTCTGCCTTAGGAATAGCTGAGTGAAACTCAAGTCTTCAGGTTTTGTCCCCCAAGTTCAAAATACTGAGGTGAAAAAAGTTGAGTCCTGAGCAAGTACAATATTGCAAGCACTATATTAAAAGGCTAAATGGTAATTTACATGATGGATTTTAATACAGAGATTGATGACAACATATATGGTGTTTAATCTAATATTTACCCCAATAAAAAGGGTCTAATAGCTTTACAAAGGAAAATATACGAAGTATGTAACTTCAAGAGATTTGCCAAGGTTTGAATAAACTGAAATATTGGTTTTAAAAAAAAAGTAGATGTACTGAGAGAATAGTTTGTTTTAGGAATAACATTCTGATAATTTGCATGTCATCAGCATAAGTTCAAGCATATAAAGGTGTTAAGATACAATTTGGGTTTTCACATTTTTTTAACTATTCTGTTTTCAGATTTCAAGAAAAATTGATGTGAGATCAGACATAAAAGGGCAGTTGTGATAAGTTATACTTATAACAGAATACCTAATGTGTGAATGCAAGATAAAATGTTACTTTTGCTTTTTAAGGAAAGCTGAATCATTGATTCCTGGGTGCACTTTTTGTGAGTTGTAATCTTTTTTTTCAAAACGCTCAAGAAAATAAGACTGACCTCCCCCAAAAGAATTATATAATAATGTAAATTGGAAATTCTTTGCCACTTTTTTTTTTTTTGGTTTTGAATTGACTACTTGCTATCTAGGATAAAATGTTGACGTGGGGGGAATGGATGGTTCGGTCTCTTGAGAAATTTAACTCCACATTTGCAACTTTGTATCTTCAAATTGACACAATTGTGCTACTGGAAATACTGAAAATGTGTTTTCTTTTTTTACAGATTTTATAAATATGAAACTCTGCTGTGAAACTAGTTTATTTCTTTTAAATGCATGAAAGGCTAAAGTTCACAAAGAACTTGTTCATACTTATTGGAAGTTTCCAATCCTTTTTCTCTCTTTTTCTCCTGAAAATATGGTCCATACTTGTTAGAGCTAAGTAAATACTTAATCATAAGAGAATAATGTTGGGTACATGCAACTGACTGATTATTTGTCTTACAAACTTTTTGGACAAAAGTTTGACACACCATTAGGTGCCGTTTTTTAAATCCAACCATAAATATAAGTTTTGGGTACTTTATTTGTATATATTTAACCAATTATTTATGAGTGTTTAATTCAGTAGCCCAAAAAGCTATTGTATCTTTGTATTGATATGAAAAACACTTGATAAACATAACATCTTACCTATCAAATGTAATGTCCCTATATAATTAAAATATATGAAATATTGAGGGTATCCTTCTCATGTGGAAATTTACTTTCATGTTGCTTGACAGAAGTACATGTAAATGGAAGGGGTAACCACAGTCTTATCCAAAGTTTAGATCTAATTAATTGTTAGGTTTGGTTGAATTGGTGAAATGAAGTGATAATTTCTCTTTTTCTGCAATACTCAAGCCTAGTTTTGTGTTGATGAATAAATCAATGAAAAATAGGTGTTGGCTAAGAATAGCTATGTTAACAAACTAGAAATATTGGTAAAAACCATCGATGGAGAACATAAAAATCGGAGTAGGGTTCAGGCTGAGCCAACTAAGGCAGAGAGAAACTTCTAAGCTTGTACAATTTGGGGGAGAAAGCAAAGAATAAGTTGCCTGGCTAATTGTTTGCTCTACTGTTAGCTCTTCATTCATATTTCAAAGATACAGTTGCAGAGATGTACACAACTGAGTTAGTGGGTACACAGAATATGCCTGAGGTTATACATGTAAACAGGTACACAGAATTCAGTCTCCAGTTGTTCCTCAAAACAGATCTGAATAGGAACAAATATATGTTGCAAAAAAATGCATATGAAGGTGTATCGGTCTTCCTCCTCTTAAGAAATTATCGTCAAGTATACAACCAACTGTGTCTGAGATTATGGTTATGACTCCATTCTTCTGCCAAGATCTGTTTACTTTATAATAGGTGCAGTTTATAAAAGCTTCTGGTGGTGTCAAAATATATACAAATTCCAACAATCAAAATTTCTTTTAAAATTAGTATATCTTTGTTTGCTATGGTAGATACTAGTGACTGCATGCTGTAGTTAAGAAAGCAATTGCTTGCTTTGTACATGTTAATTTTCTCCTAATTTAAATCCAATGAACATAATCAGGTAAAGCATGTTCTGAGCTATAAATATAGGAGACCAACCCTCCCCCTCCCCCAAAACTCTACTATGCATGCTTGGGTTATCATTTTTTCCGGGAGTTTGCTATGGTAGATACTAGTGACTGCATGCTGTAGTTAAGAAAGCAATTGCTTGCTTTGTACATGTTAATTTTCTCCTAATTTAAATCCAATGAACATAATCAGGTAAAGCATGTTCTGAGCTATAAATATAGGAGACCAACCCTCCCCCTCCCCCAAAACTCTACTATGCATGCTTGGGTTATCATTTTTTCCGGGAGTGTTGTTTCATCAGTACTTCTACTTTCAAAGCTTATTTGCCATTCTGACCGGCAGCATTTATCAAATACCTTGAAAGATTTGAGCATTTTAAGCACTGTATTGCTGTACTGAAGTTGTGGCTTTGCTTTGTTAGTTATTTGGTTGTTTTATGTGATGACGACATACATTTTTAGAAAGCATTTACAGGGTTAAATAAGAAACCTTTTTGTACCAAAAATATAGTGTGCAGGTATTATTGTATTACAAATCAGTTTGTTTGAAATGTAATACAGTTGCCTTAGATCCACAAACTTAGTTTCATTAACATGATTAGATAAATCCTTATTAGCCAGAAGGTTAAATTATATGTCTATCTGTGAGTGTACGTGTGTGTGTATATATGTATTGTATTGCATCATATGTTTTATTGGTGAATTGTGGTAAACAATTATTGTGGCTACTTAATTTCTAACTACAAAGTTCTGATAATATTAGATTTGGGCTTGCTGTGCATAAAGTGTGTCAAACTTCAGTTACAGACCAGGGGGTGAAGTTGGTCAATTTAATTCCCCAAGATCTAAAGAAGGTTGGTATCATTTCATATAGCACTGGCAGAGCAGATCATTACCAGACACAAATCTGTTCGTTACATGCCGAGGGTTTATAGCAAAATAAATAGACTGTCATCATAAGTTCAGAAAATTGTGTGTTCGACCCACGATAATGTGTAAAGGGCGTTTAATAGAGTTCAGCATTTATTCGTTATCTGTATGCGGACAGAGACAACAGTAGTGTTATCAGCTTTAAAAAAAAAAACGTGGGTAGTTTTCTCTGTCTTATGACATAGACCCACACACACACACACCCACACTCTCTCTCTCTCTCTCACACATACATACACACACACACACACACACACACACGCACTGCGGCGCACTTTTTATTTTAGTCACAGCAGAAGGCTTAGCCACAAGAGATTCCACTGGTTCAAACCAGCGTAAACCAGATTTTTTTTTTTTTTTTTTGCCTACAAAGGAACAGATTACCTCTTGTATCAAATTCCATATTGGGAAGGGAAAAAAATCTTTGTTTCAAAAAATATGCTGATTATCATAAACTAAAATGGTGGCTGTATACATTTAAATGCTGTTTATAGTTGTGCAGCAAGCTTAATAAAAATAAAGACATGAAAATTGCAAAGACAGTGTTTCCTTCAACATTGGTGGATGGGGGAAAATACATCTTTTGTTAATTTGAATGACTATCTCTCAGCCAACATTTAAAAAAAAAAAAAACCACAACACCCTTCCATTACCTCGCTTAGCTGCAAATCCTATGCAGAGCTTAAATTCAGCCATGCAGCACAAACAAGATAGAACGTTTTTTGTTTGGAACCTATTGAAAAAACAAATGTGCAGCATTTTGAAACTCTCGCTGATTATAGCAGGGTGGCATGCCCCAAATGGGCTCTATTGCAGGAGAGTAGTTTTAAACTTTGGCCCTTTAAGTATCATAGCCAACTGAAGATTGGTGACCTCAGAAAGAAAAGATAGCTATGCGATCAACTCCCAGATCATCTTTTTCTAAAGAGACGTAATGTTTGCCTTTTTGGGGAAGGAAGGGGGGAGGGAAAGAAAGTACTTGATTTTAAGAACTGGTTTGGTAGGTAAAGAGTGTGGTTTTCTTTATATCAGATTTTTGGAAGTTTCCTTTATCTTTCAGTTTAAGTCATTGCAGTAGTTACCCTCTTAGTTTATATGGTTAGTAGCCTTTTTCTCTTATTTTTTAGTAATGGGGTAAAGCATAGATTTAATTTTAGACCAACCACATGAAATACCAATGGAATATTTTTATTTTTATTTTTGGTCTTCTCGCTTGTGGAAATTCTCAGTATTTGTAAACATTCTCATCTTATACAGTAGTTGAATATTAGTCTTGTGAAATTGTAAATGAAACATGAGTATAGACTGAAGTAATTAGCTATTGTCATAGTCCAGTTCAACTGGAATTGGGGAGAAAACTGCGGGGGGGGGGGTTCATAACGTCCATCCCTTTGCACACATTTGTTGAAATGATATTGTTATGTTCCAGTTCAACAAACTAATGTATCACTCTCCATTTTGAGAGTTAAAGTGTAGTTGATATTCAAGCTAGTGATTTTTTTTTAAATAATCCTGCCGATACAATGTTATTAATAGTGTTAAAAGGGTGGATTGCAATGAACTAGACTGATTTTACAAACACACTTCAATGTAAACATACAAAAAATATAGTGCTCCTGAATTAGGATACATATGCAGAGTGGATTTTTTTTGAAAGAACTATTTCATGATACACATAATTTTTACCTATTATTAAGTGTATTGTACACTAAATAAAGTATTACCATGTAAACTTAGTTGCTTTTAATTGGGGGGGAAAGTTGCTATAATAGGTTGAATAATAATACTGCACTTATGTTATGAATAAGAATAACAATTGGTATACCAGTGACAAACTACAGAGATAATATAGTCTATTAATAAGTCAGATGTGTTAGTAAAATAAGAAACCAGTTGTCACAACTAACAAAATATAGAAAACATCCCGAAAACTTATATATATACAAAACCACTTCAGCTGTACAATCTTAGAAGAGTGGAACAGTAAACTTGTTTTTTTTTTCTTTATAATATAGACTTCTATGAAGTCATTCCCCTTTATTTCATGATGGTGTCTTAGATGTGGTTTAAAAGAGAATTTCACACTATTCTCTTTGTTTAATGTGACAGTGTGAGAAAGTGATCTTTATTCGTTCAAAAAACTCTGCATGTAGTCTATGTTTAGGTTCTTTTAATGTGTTTGTCTGTGATTTTTAAATGCTAAACATGTAAACAGATAAATTGTCAATGTTAATTCTGTATCCTGTCACACAACTGATCTTTCTTTCCTGCCATTTCTTTCCTTTTTATCTTTTTTGTGCGTTCATGTTGCAGTTGATAAAATTACGTGAAGAGGTGAGTACTTTCTTGCTTTTTTGTTGTCTAGTTTTTCCTTTAAAGCTGAGTTTCCAAATCTGAAAGTAGATCTTTTTGTTTATTGTTGCAGGGAAATTTACACAAAGCAAAAATATTGATTACATTGCTTAAAAATATTCACAGTTGTGTGTCTTTTTTCCCCTTAATAACTATATGCCTACATGGGACTCCCTAGATCAAACCTTAGAAATTAATATTATTTGATAGCAGTGAAAAATTTTAAAGGCATTGGAAAAAGAAGAAAAAACCCTATTATTTGATCTGTTAGAATATTATGATCAGATCAGGTGTAGTAATAATCTTGTTTGCATCACAAAATCTTTGATGGGGTAAATACATTTATACATTGGTATTGTAAATGAAAGCACTGCTTCTGTGAATACCTGTATTGTAACATTATCAAACATGTAATACTTCACTATACATTAACTTTAGTGTAGAGCTATTGAAATACATAGTGTATGAAAGTATTGTGTACACCGTGAGAATGTAGTGCAAATAGACACACACTTATTATTTGACTGCATGTGATGCATAGGTGAAACACTACAGATCAGTATTCTGAAGTACCCGTCCTTATACTTAGTAAATGAATCATGAATAGTTAGAGATAGAAGTATACAGTTTTATGGTTGATTACTCAGATTGTGGTGTATTGTTTTCTAAAGCTGATGTCTTCTGTTGTGTGTGGTGTTGCTAGAATGTTCTAGAATGAATGTATAAGTGTGTATGTGTGCATGTGTGCACACGCACATGCAAAAGCAGGTATGTGTACTACTATTATTTTTTTCTTTCTAGTTACAACTGGTAAGGATTTAGTGGAGTCATAATTCCTAGCAGGCCAGATTTCTAAGTAGACTCCTGGAGAGAGCTCCTACTAAGCAAAATATTAACATTCTCATATAGTATGTTAGTCTTGTCTTTATTATCTTCTGACTGACTAACATGATGATGATGATGATGAACTGACAAATCAATAATGGATATTGCTCTCTGGAAAAAGTATTTATCATAAGTTCTAGGAGTGCTGATGAGAGGGAACTGGGAACTAAACTAATCAATAGCAACAAAGGGAAGTTCTTGATGTAACATCTTTAATTTTTGTTTAAAAGAACCTTTCACCAGTGTCCCAGATATGTTGCTTGTCTCTCTTTCCTGTCCCCAAATGGATCCGATATGAATGGGGTGATAATGAGGAGGGAAAGAATGCTAAAAAATAAATCTAAGATCAAGTGAAATCCCTCCCATCATTACTTAGTGCCCCTCCTTTATATTCTCTTTATAGACCTGTATTTAAACAGATAACGTTGTTGCAAGGATTCTAATAATGTGATTTCTGACGTGTTAAAACCAGATATGACTTGTAGCAAAGGGTAGTTGTTTAAAATCACACTTGCCGAATTCTTTCATGGAAGTGCATATACATGCATATATATGTCTACATTGTAGAAAACTGCAATAGAAGCATTTTGCTAACAAATTATGCCTTTTTTAAAATAAACCTTGTTCCTGACCTTTTGCAAGATACTTTCAAAACTGAATGCAGAGAATATGAGTACTGCTGCCACTTTAATGTAAATTTTGTATAACGAGGGTGCTGGACATTAAAACAGCCACATGCAAACACCTAGATAATTCAGCATTTGTGGCAAAAGGCCATGCCTTTGTGTGTTATCAAATCTCTTACAGATTTTAAATCTGTTTGTGTATCTACTAAATGAATCATGTTGCATACTAGTAATTTCTTTCTCTTCATGTATTTTTTAAGTCTTGTCAGTTACCTTTTTTTTTTATTATTATTATTATTTTTTTCTTTTTGGAATGGCGTGGGAACCTCTTTAAAGAATATATCCAGTTAACATAATATAATGCTTGATTAAATTGAATTGACAGAGGAATAATTTAATTTTTTGTGTTCCGAGTACTACCTATACGATAGGCTATAATTATGGTTGTATTTTTATACCGAGCGTCCAATGCACACTGAAATCTCAATGAAGGATAGTACAGTGTCTCAGGCATGGCTCTAGTCATGTAGTAAAACATCAAGACATCTCCAATTATAGTTCTCCTAAGGAGGTATAAGCTGATCTTAAAAGAAATAGTGATTTTCCATACAGTTTGTTAATAAAAAGTACACTTCCTCTTATTCCGTGGCTTTATTCAAACACACATGCAGCACGTAGAATTCTATGGAAGCAATGTTGCTCTGTCTCTCTAGTCTCTGAAATCTCAGTTTGAATCCAGCCCACATGGAATGACTAAATCTCTAGTGATAGCATGCCACTTTGCAAAACTTCCTCTCACAACTTCAGATAGAGGCTCTTTCTGAAGCTACAAGACAGACTGTATCACCTCACTACCCACCTTACAAAGGGTTGGGGATAGTGTGGGGGACTGAGTTTGGGGAGGGGCGGGAAGGAGTTGAAAGCATCAGCTACTACTATAGTTCATTGCCTTTCATGACCAAAAGGATGGTATTCATCCAAAACCAAACACAGAATGTAAATAACACCATCAGTTACAACAAAAATTAGGTTTTTATTGTAGAATGATTTAGGTGGGAAGGTTTTGAAAGACACAGCATTGAGTTAATGTTAGCACTGAATACACGGTATTCTAGTGTTCTAATTGCTTAGAGCAGGGCTAGGCTGGACTGAGGGATCCTGCTTTGCATTTTCAGTATAATTTTTTTCTTAGCTATTATATGCAAACACACATACTAAAATACATGTGTGATTGGATAAATGTGCTGAATTATAACACCATACAATGTGAATTCTGACTTCCTCCACACATGCACAATTCATCTGAACAAAAATGTTATTTTCATTTTAAGCATATGACAACACTAAATAACTCTTCTGTAATTAAAAAGTAACGTGTGTTGTGCTGCTGAGTCCTTGAGTCTGTGCCTACAATATTCAAAGTCTCTCCACTTAACTTTCGGAATTGTCATCTTTTGAATCTCAGATTCTTTGGTGATCCTAGAATCTAAGCTTTACTTTAAGGAAAATATTTGACACATTATACAGACCTGGCACATTCTTTGTAAAATTTAAACTAGCATAAATTGAATCTTACCATTTTAATCTTACACATTTCTTTAAACAGGGTGTCTGAGCCATAGGGAAAAAAATAAGCTGTTGTTATGAAAAGCTACCTTTTTAAAAAACTTATTACATAAAATTAACGCTAATTATTTAGATTGGCAATGACTCCTAAGAACACACACCACTCTAGGTGCTGTTATGATTTCAATTAGTATTCCGTAACTTATGTTTTTAAATGTTAAGTGCTTGTGCTGCTTTTTTTTTTCTTGGTGGCCTGCCCCCCATGAATGTAAAGGCTTTTGTGCAATTTACTCTTAACCTATCCACTGTGTATTAGACGACTCTATTAATTATTATAGACTGTTATTGCAGCTTTCCTGACCTTCACATTGGGTCTTATCTGTGCTGATCTAAATGCATTGTTTTAATGATTTAAAAAAAAAAATTCAAGGCAAGCTTTGATGTGGCTTTAGCTGCCTCGATCGTCTGGCCGCATCTCAGAGATGTGTCACCTATGCCGGGAGGGAATAGGGAAATCACGTTTTGAATGGTAATGATAACATACTAATCACTTCCTTTCTTTGAAGATAGAAGCGAGATATTCTGTCAGCATCCCTGGCTGCTAGAGCTTGGAGGCATTGGTCTAGGTGTATTAGCTTAAGTGTGCATGTCAATACAGCTTGCATCTCCCAAGATCCATAGGGGCTCATTAGAGCAAGGTAGATCGTTTCAGTAGACAGCCACTCAGATAATATGTATGGCACCTCCTTTTTTATTATTATTAGAAAGCATTCCTTCGATTTTTTTTTTTTTAATGACATCTGTCAACAAGGCAAAGTTATAGGAGTTGTTTTTGACATGTACCAAAACTGTATTTTGGGGTGAAGGAAGTGTTGGTGAAAGTATGTGTGTCTGACTAGTTTATACATATTTTTGACAGCTTGATTAGAACTAGTCTAGGATTAGTACTCTAAAAAGAAATAAGGCTTACATTTTGAGAGCAGGTTATGGGTGGAGAATAAAGTAGTGAAAATGATCATTTTATCTTTGTACTTTCGCTAATTGTAAAAATGTGTAGTGTTATATTTTTGCCAAAGTTCATAAAATACCTCTTCATGTACATAAATGAGCCTGTATCTTTTTAAATGTTTTGATATATGGATCTAGACACCAGTGTTTTATTGCTATATGTGTTTACTTCAAGCGGTCCTAAAATATATCTGCTATTTAGTATTCTGTGTGAGTAGAATTTTGTTTATATATAGTAGTTCAATGAAGTAGAAGTATAGTCCACTGAAAACCTGTTAATACTAAAAATTACCACCTGCTATAATAATGATGTTTTGTGAAATTATTGTTCAATGGTAAATGTGGATGTTTATATCTGATAAAATAGGGGAATAATCTTCAGGTTGATCTTCAGGCAGTGCCCATATATAGCATAAGCATTCGATCTGATCAGTGTTCTCATGTAATAACAATGAAGCATATATGCACTGTTTCAAAACAAAATGATTGGTACATATAATTATAATTGATCACAGACCTACCTCTTCCAGTGGTGCTTGTTATAGGCTATTCCATTGGAATATCTGTAGATATTTTTATGTGTTGGCATATGAAAGTGTAATTAAAAGGGGGGGGGGGGCAGAGAGAACATTGTAGACTGCAGTCTGATTTTTTTTTCCTTTTTCTTTTTCAGAGGGCACATCTGCTCGATAACACAGAGAGGCTGGAAAGGTCATCTCGGAGACTAGAGGCTGGATACCAAATAGCAGTGGAAACCGGTAAGAATTCTGAGAGTGAGCAAATTGTCTTGCTTATGCACAGCAGTCTTCACAACACATGACATTTCAGGGAAACTTCAAAGGCGAAGCAGAGACAGCAGCCCGAGATGTGGTTTACATATTGGGGAGACAATTGGGAGCTTATTTGCACTTATCTTTTTTCAAGTTAAAAGGCATGACATCTACTGAAAACAGTTCCTGAGGTTTAAAAGTATACATCTGAAAAGAGATGGAATACTTTGTCTAAATTCTACATTTGTCTTAATGTGCAGTTACATGTTGTCAGTTTACCCACCCGCAATGATTGCTAGCACACACTGTAGACTCCAGTTGTTTTTGTTTTTTTACCTTTATTGATATATGTAAAAATTATTTTAATAAAGCTGTAAGATATTATCCAAAGATGAATAAATGATAAGGTTGCTAACTCAACTTTCTTGAAATCGGTTGTGCAATGAATTGTTCAGGTTTTTTATACATATACAGTGAAGTCAGCAAATCATACCTTATTTCTGTTAAATTTTTACCAATTCAAAGAAAAGAGAGGTAAATCAAAGCTTAATGTATTACTTTTATTATTGATAATAACTCATTTCAATTGATACTTTAAAAATCTTCATTAAAATAAACTTGTCAGTAATTTTTAAAAAATGCAACAATAACCAAGTACCCAAAGTCTAATCTCCTTTAATGAATATGGTCATCCAAAATTATGGAAAGTTTCACGTAATGCCTATTATATTGTAAAAGTAAAATACTTTTCTGAGACCATTCTAGTTAATTGGTATCTTACATAATCTAATATGTATTATTTAAAAGGTAAGGTAAGTTTATTATTTGTAAAGTTAATATTATGTTAAGCAATTGGCATTGTTATTTTTATGCCCACATTTAAATTATTTTGGGTTTAGTGATATGAAAAATTATGTAAAAGAAGTTGTCAACATGCCATATGTGAAATGGAAAATTAAGTAATTACTTCACGAAGAGGTCTGAATAATGGAAATGGAAACCATATGAGTAAAGATAGCCTTGCTATAAGTTCTCAAGAGTTCTAACCGTGACCATTACTCTTTTTTAGAAGGGCTGTTTTAATTAATTAAAAATTCAACTCTGCTTTATCATATCATATGTTCTTGCCCAGGCAAAGGTTATGTAGGATATCTGCCTCTTCCGTTAGGGATGAAAGTAGCTTATTCCTTCCTCCCACCCTTTGTAACGTGGTATCGTTAAAAGCATCATCCTGTCAACTTTCATTACTTATGTCTCCATGGCCATCTCCATTAAGTATGTATGATTATGGGCCAGTTATTCAGCTTATGTAAACTGACAATTTAATTGACTATCCTGGACTTACATTAATTGAAACACATTGAGGATTTGTAAATTTTAGGTCCCAGTGTTGACTATGAAGATTTTGGAGAACAATAATAATATATTAATTTAATACAATGTAAGAATTAACTTTTTACAAACATGTGGATCTTTTGTATATAATCATTCTGTATATGTTGCCATATAAGTACAGATTCTTCATTTTTGAACTCTGATTCACCATTAACTTGGTTTTCAGACATAGATCTCCCTTTGTGTTGGAAGGAGAGGGTGACACGTGGCCATCATGATTTTTTTTAATATGTGTGAAGCCCTGTGTAATAACGTCTGATTACTTTCATTTCTGGAATACTCAGTAGTTCAAATTCATTTTAGGACACTCTATAAAATATTTTTGTTACAGTCATTGGCAGCTCATAATATTAGAAAACAAAATATATCATACTGTACTAAACTTCCTGTGTTGTCTTAAGGGTTAATTAAAGATTGCTTGGCAAATTTCTTACCAGTTCTTATGGCCACATGTTAGCTGTGCTGCCTCTCTAAATTGTTTACTTCTCAAGTCACTCATGTATTTGAGAACATAAGCCAAGAACTATTGAAAGGGACCTAACTTCATTCTGACTTCTTTCTTTCAGTGGATAAGCACCCAAAGATTCTGGAGCTTCATATTAGGGATGTTAAATTTCAATTGTCTAATCGAATAGTTGATGCAAATTTGCATTGACTGTTCAATTAGTTGATAAGGGCACCTCTGCCTTTGAAGCATAGCAACAGCCTCACGGTGAAAGCACTGTGAAAAGTATGGGGCCAGCGGGAGATTCAAGCAGTTTCCTGCTGTCCCCGTACTTCCCGTGGCATTTTAAAGTGGCAGTGCCGCATGGATCCCGAGGTCAGCTGGTGACTCCCCAACTGACCCTGGGCTTCATGCGGCGCTGCTGCTTTGAAATGCCTCAGGAAGCCTGGTGTAAGGTTCCATGTAGCGTTTCAAAGAGGCAGCACCGCATGAAGCCCGGGGTCAGTGAGGAAGTCCCCAGCTGACCCTGAGCTCCACGCGGTACTGCCACTTAGAAGCACCCCCTCATTTTCCCCTTGCTCCTTGCGGCATCTTTCTCATAGAGGCAGCAAATGGGGGGAGTGACTAATTGACTAGTGTGTCAACTATCTGATAAACATTTTGCTTATCAGATAGTCGACTAGTCAACTAGTCATTCACATCCCTACTTCATACCTCAGGAGGCACCATACATCACCATACCATTAGGAAATTCTGAAGGCTTAAATATATGGGGAGATCTCCTGAATGTTTAAGGATTAAATTTGCCGTATCCCAGGAGGCCCAGATGAGGGTTCTGGCACTTCATGACCAATTAACTTTAGTAAAACTGAAGATTGTATGGCTTCCCAGTACTGGGAGACATTTCACCATAAATATTTATAGGGATTCATTCCTAACATAACAGGTGTTGGAGTACTGATATAGTAGCAAGCAATAGTTGGTTCAGTCCAAACTCTACTTAATTGCGTCTTAGTAATTTAAATGCATTGAGCTGTATTTCATCTGGTTCAAACTACAAGTAGGTCTCAAGTCATATGATTTTCTTAAAGAAACCATTTGTTATATGGATTATGTTTTTGGAGGCCTTAATGCTGGCTGTAATAACTAGGATGAAACTTAATTGTACTTACCCACGTAAGCACATTTTTTTTTCTGTTGATGACCATTGTTGGTCATCATGGTAAAGGACAGACAAGCAGGTAGACTCTTTCTGTGGATTAATGCGAGATGTTTTTTCCTATTTGAATAGAATGTTTTATCACTTAAATGTTAGTTGTGTCCAAACTGAATTCTGGAGCTTCCTTCTCTTCTCCGTAGAGTATGCTTAGTTTCGGTGTGTATTTCTCTCTATGAAATTCGTATTCAACTTTTGTAAGCGGTATTGCTTCTGTGGACATTTCGAAATGCCTTGTTTAATTCATCTTCCGAAAAGTAACTGTAGTGCAAGTATTCAGTGATGTGTGATGTCAATAGGGGAAAAACAAAGACTAGATCAAACTCATGAGAGGCCATTATGGTTGGAAAGCTTTCAGCATAGCCTTGATTGCTAAATACTTTCTGAAGGAGAATACTGAAGTTAATATCTAGACCTCACCCTGCATCATGAAAATCTACAGAGGATGTACAACCACTAAATGCCATCCACATTTATATGATATGATATTAAAGATACCAGTAAGTGGTTTCCTTTTCTTCCTGGGCCTCAGGGATTACCACAAAACACTCTAGATGTGATTTCTGTGAACTATAAAACCTCTCTGCATCATCACACTTTCTGAGTTTTGCTCCGTGAATGGTGATTGACTATATTGGTATGTCTCCAGAAGCAGCTCAAGTCCTGTGAACTACTAGAAAGGTTTGTATGCTAAGTGAAAAATTCCTTGCAGTAAATCTCAAAACTTAGAGCTGTTTTCATATCTCCTAATTCCAAACAAACTTCCTATAAAAAATATCTGTGGAGAAGATCCATCTCAACCTAGGTTTCAAATCTTTCTTATATAATAGAAGTTTGCATTACTATTTTGTGTTTGGAAATCCACATGATACACAATGCAAATACAGTTGACAAGTGTTCTGGACTTTTTCATGAGCCTGTAAAATATAAACCTCTGTGATTGTGACCGGGAACTTCAATTCCATCTGGAAGTGCATTGCCAGCCTAGACACTCTGTAGTGACCTGATTTTATAAAGAGAGGATGATCATTTAAAACTCTAAAAGATAATATCAGTAGTATCACATTGCCTTTAAGGTTCCCTATAAGCTTCACACCCACGCTGGTGTACAGCTCTTTTCTGAGCCTTGTGCAGAGGCTTAGAGCTCCCTGTGCAGGCTGGGTGCTCAACTAATTGGCTGGGGAAGCAAGGAATGGGGCACTTGCCCTCTCAGCGGAGTAGAAGGAGCAGTAGCTGCTGCTGCCTGCTCTATATGGAGAAGCTGGCTTCAGCCTGTACTCCAGGGCTGGGCAAAAGATGATCTGCAGGCAGGATCCACCAGCCAGAGCCTCAGCCGGCTCCCTGCCTGCCCTGCACCCGCTTGGCGCACTGGAAGGCGGATGCAGGGCCACATGTATGTTTGTGAACACAGAGAGGAGAGAGCCTGGAGAGAGGAGTAAGAGGCTTTTCATTTTGCTCCCATCCTCAATAACTCCCATTGGCTGTTTTCGACCAATAGCAGCTGCCTGTTTGCAGGACAGGCAGCATGTAAAGTGCCCCTCCTCCCTCAACTCCCAGGCCCACAGCATTCAGTTTAGAGCAATAAACATGACTCCTGCCACTCCCCTGAGCACATACAGCAGCTGGAAGGCAGGGACCTGGGCTAAGGAACCTGCTGAGCAGCAGGCTTTGAGCCAGGTAAGGTCTGGCACTCCAGCCCCTTCCTATCTATCACCAACCCTCCGCCTCCCTTCTGCCCTCCTACTCCATGTAACCTAAACCTTCTGCGCCCTTGCTTCAGCCCCCATACACCTTCCCAGATACTGCATCCCCTCCTACATCTCCCTCCTCTGGTCACAACCTCGTCTCAGACCTTGCACTCCAATCTGCTATCCCTGGTCACAGTCCAAATCACTGCACCTCCTCCTGCATCCCTACCCCAAGCCACAACCC